AGTGTTATCTATACTCCTCAATGCATGGTGATATGCAAAATGAGACAGTTCAGCTGTCATACTTTATATTTAAAGAAATACTAGATTTCAAAGTGAAAACCATACAGCCTGCAGTTATAAAGGATAAAGGACTCAGTTATTTAAAACATTGGCTTGACACTATGGCAAACATTACTGATGACTTTTTCTATTGAAGTGTTGACACGTGATATTTATAAGTTAACATACAAAGCTTTGTAAGTGACCTAGAGTACTACACAAAAGTCTTGATCTTTGTTTTACTTTGGACATTGGTTGCTTTTTCACTCATTTTCATTTTCTTATAGCTGACTCACGTTCAGACTAATGTTTTTCTTTGTCTGTTGCTTAGTACAGACCAATAAATTATTCAAACATAAAAAAGGCACCTAACTCAAGGGATGGACCAGTGTTGTATCAACATATAATAAGCAACTTGCAAAGAACCAATTTTAAATTGTATCATTAGTCACTTTGGCACTAGCAGCCTTTCGCAAACACATAATTTGTTCCCATTTTGTTAGTTTAATCTACAAAAAAAATAAAAATACCAAGGACACCACAGTTTGACCGGCATAAAACTGTACTTCTGCTTCAACAAAGTGATTCCCAAAGAGCTATTAGCCAAAAAACGGGCATATCTCAGCATGGTGTGAAGTTTGTCATTAATAAATTTGAGGAAAGTTGACAAGTAGAGGACAAGTAGAGCATGTCTTTTATCTTATCTCATTCCCATCACCCTCGAACAGTCACAGCAGATAACTGCCCCTCCTTGAGCCTGGTTCTGCTGAAGATTTCTTTGTATTAAAAGGGAGTTTTTCCTTCCCACTGTCACCAAATTGCTTGCTTATAGGCGGTTGTCTGATTGTTGGGGTTTCTATTATTGTAGGATCTTTATCTTACAACATTAAGCACCCTGGGGTGACTATTGTTGTGATTTGGCACTATATAAAAAATTTTAATTGAATTTACTTGAACTGACAAAAGAAGAATTGTCAGGTCAAAAAACTATGCACAGCAAATAAACAGTGTCTGAAAGTCATGTCCGTGACAAATAGGGGGAAAAAATCCAGCATGTACTGTTCACTGAAGCCTCGTCAGAAATGGTCTCAGTTGAAGCATGGCTTTCAAGAAGCCATTCTTAAGGAAGGGAAACAGGGAGCAAAAACTGCTGTTGCTTTTCATTAATGTAAAACAGTACATTAACTCATAACACACCGGGGAAAGTAATCTGTTACACTACTTGCTATATTTGTTATACGTTACTGCAGAAATTGACTTGACAGATTATATCATAACCAGTTAACACTATAAACCTGCAGCTACAGGTGATCACTCATCACAGTCTTTGTTATCTGTTGTGGTTCAGGTTCTGGCTGCTGCACTGGGGTAGGCATCACTCAAGTTTAACGTAATTCTGGGTTCTTGGCTGACTTTGTTTTGGCACGCTGTCTTTGCTTGCCAAGAGGGATGTTTTGTTAGCAGAACAGTGCAATTGTTTCTGTCCTGGATGCAGTCTGAATTTCACCATCAAACTCTTGACCTTTCATGCAATCAAAATAAAAGTACTGTCCATATTGCCACTTCTTAAAAACTGTAGATCACTCCACCACTTTCCTCCACCCAGCACACAAACTGAAATAAGCTGATTGTAGCAAACCCACAGGATGAAAAATGTGCTTGATTTTTCTTCTTTCTATTTGCAGTGTGTCGATGACTGAAGAGACTTTGTAGTGCAAGTAACAACAGGAACTGTAATGCAATTACAGAATTTAGCACAGTAACGAGTCAGTTTAGAAGGCATTACACCCAAAGCTGGGTTTGTCAAATTAGAGAAGAACTGGACTGATAATCAACCGTTAACACTTATGGAGTTATACTAATCATCAGTCACCCTAATCATCAGTGTTATCATCAGTATGTGTGGAAGAGGTCAGGAGAAAGGTAGAAAAATGAGTGTCTATTACCTTTTGAAAAGCCCAACAGAGGCTCTGTCGTGGTTTGGGGCTGCATTTCAGCCAGTGGTGTTGGGGATCTTGTCACAATTGATGTAACACACATAAAAGTCCTGCCAGATTTTGATCCACCATACAATACCATCTGGAAAGCATCTAATTGACATTTCTTCATTTTTTACCATGGCAGTGATCCAAAACACACTGCCAACAGAGTAGAAACATACCTGGATAGAAAAATAAACAACAGAAAACTACCAGTCATGGACTGGCCTCCCCAGAGCCTGGATATCAACATTACAAGCAGTTTGGGATCAAGGTTGTGACTAATGTCCAATGAAAAGCTCTGCCCTTCAAGAAACCTGAAGAACTATTCCTGAAGACTACTTAAACACGTTACAAGAAAGGGTTTTCATTAGCTTTAGAAAAGTTGAAAGAAGCCTTTTTTGTTTGAAAAGCAAAGCCACAGCATCCAGTGGTCAAATTAAACACAAAAAACATGAATCAGCAATATAACTGAATAGAGATGTTACTGAATGAAGGACCTGTAATAGGTACAAAACTGTTTTATTAGTCACATACATAAACCCGTGAACCAGTGAAATATAATGTTGGTTTCCACCACAGGAACTAACGGGTTTTTTAGGCCACCATAACCTTTTGTGCCTAGGCAAACTGCCTTTGCAGTACCTTGCAGAGGAGAAAAAGTACCTATTCCATGGTAAGTTCTTCTCATCAGCCACAAAAAACTGCTGAGCATGGACTCATTGCTTACTGGCTGAATTTGGAACAGAAACTTATCAGAAGCAATAAAAAGAATAGTAGATTTCTGAATAGTAAAAAAATCATTTCAATCAAATCAAAAAACATTTGTTATAGGCATTCACAATTATCAGTAGTGAAGCAATCCATATTTATTCAGAACTTAAATTACACCACGGTGTTGCAAAATTACTACATCACCTTGTGAAACTAGTGGTTCCTATGGAAACAGGAATGTAGGAAGAATGGAGGAAAGGAGTCTGTTCAAGTAAGTTAACTTTCACCTTCACCAAGTTCCTGCAATGTAAGGTAGCTATAAGTAGTGAGAAACCTAAAAGATTTAGCAGACAATGAAACAATTTGTTATAAAGCATAAAATGATTATTGCAGTTTTATTATGACAAGGATATTGTTACTCCTGTACAACGAGTCTCCTAATGCCTAAGAGGTTTTGTGTTGTGGCAAAAGCCAGTGCCTCTGTTTGTTTGTGTTTTCATTGTATTTTATTATTGCTGGTTTTCTCTGAGACAAATATCCAGGATAATCCCGGCAGCCAGAATGCTATGCTTTGAGGTCCTTTGACTGAGGAAAAAAGTGGATAGACATTGCCTGTAGAAAGTTGCTGTTAAAACTGGTGATCTTCACTGTGTCACCAACTTTTAATTAAATGTGATGGAACTGTACTGTTTGAACAAACAAATCTGAAGTGCCCCACAGTGTAGTGTTTCAACTGCTGAAAACAAGTTAGAGGGCAGAGCAGTGATATTTCTGAAAAAACCACAATAGCATTTTCATTAGAGGTGAACATGTACTACAAATACTTTGTGACACACTGAAAAGGTTCCTGTGGCAAAGATTCCACTGTTGTACTTAACAGACCGCATGACACAAAGTCTTAGGTGGCACAAAACAGGACGAACCCCAAAATCAAAATGCAGAACTTGAGTTATTTTATCATTTCAGTCAGTATTAATTAAATATTTGTGTATAATAAATGACTATTAGCTGGATTAATGATGCTTATCATCTAACAAGTGAACAACTGGAAAACATTGGTTCAGTTATTATCTGAACTCAAATGTGATCATGTTGCCGCACCCCTAAGGCTAATAGACATGATCTTTACTTGTGTATAGTTTACCCAAGGCTTCGCCACATATTGTGTGTGTGTGTGTGTGTGTGTGTGTGTGTGTGTGTGTGTGTGTGTGTATAACCAAATTATTCCTGAGCACTTTGTCTCGCTAACACTGAGTGCTTCAGTAATTATGTCATGTAAGGGCAATCAGAGTTAATTAATTATGGTCAGATGCACTGCCTCTAGCAACCTTTCATACATGTGTGAAAGGTCAGTTTTCCTTGCAAGGCAGAAATGAAGTTGCTGACAAAGTGATTGATGTGTCTGTGAATGTTGATGCTTCAGACAAAATAATCTCAGTAAATTCTTACTCCAGCCTCTTCTACTGAAGGCTCAATTCTACAGCTTGTGAAAAGTGGACATGCAAGGCTTCTTTTAGCAACTTCAACATGTGAATGAGCATCCACCCCCATGTAACACAATGCATGCTCACAAAATAAATAACTGGAATAATATTGTGAATTAACAAGTTTTTTTTTTAAAGGCGTACAAGTGTTAAGTTGCAAAATATTTGCTCTTGCAATAACAAATTACTTGATTACAGACGCAGACAAAACGCAATCAACTGAAAAGACTACATATACACTTACACACTTAAAGAAGGACTTTGTTTTGGTGAGAGCCCCATAGACAAAGAAGATAATTACCAGAGGCAAAACTTCCGCTCATTGCTGAAATAGATCACTTATTGTGTTTGGGGTGCGTTTTGGATTCATGCTGTTAACTGACACATGCTATGCCTTGCTCTGTAGCTAATTTTGACTGATCATCCAGGAAGTCTGTGGTCCAATTTTGCTAACTGTAATTCTAAAAATATAATTGTATGCATTAGATGGGGACCAATAAGCAAGTATTTCTGTTTCTGCAATGGACCCATGCAGTTTATGGATGCACCTTGCTAACCATGCTTGCTAGCATAGGCTGATAACTTAGCACCTCAACCCCTCACCCCAGATGAGGTCAGTACAAGACATAGAAAACCCACATGATGTACCATAGCTATACCATATGGTATACTATTTATCTTAGTAGAGTGGCATGGCAATTTTGCATGTGTCACAGTTTTCAGTAAAGGCATGCAAGTGCAACTGATGCACTAAAGAAAGGTTAATATACATTTGCACACTCACCTGAATTGAAACATCACTGTAAGATCCTCCAATAACCCCTGAGATGGCCAGTGGAACCTCATTTTGAATTGGTCTCGAGCCGTCTGGGCAGATGAAACCTGGGTCGTGCACCTTAGTGAGGGATGCTCTTACAAAATCTAGCGACTGCTCCAGAGCATAAGTGTCTTTCGAGCAGGTGTCCAGGATGTGAGCCCCCAGCTGGAGACCAGGAAGGATGCGATCGCTGGAGTTAATCTCATCAAGTGCCAGCAGCATGGCTTCCAGTCTCTGGATCCCTCTCCCCTCATTGATCTTACCACAGTCTTCCATTCCATCGCCTTTTTCGTGCACCGGGAACAGGCCTCCAATCACCAAGTCCCCATCGACGATGATCTCACGTTTGGCTGAAGGGGGCAGTCTGGAAATACTAAGCAGGACTCCTGGTATCAGCAGCTCGAGAAGGAACACATGGAGAGGCCAGTAATGTGCAGAATTGGCCTGCGACTTGGGGCAGAGCACTGCACTCAGCATGGCAGGACCAGGTAGCTTGATTTAGCAGGTTGAAGTGGAGAGCAGAAGAGGTTCAAACAATTTGGAGGCAGATGTCTTTCAAGTCCTCTGTCAGTGAGTGCAGCATCTTTAATATTTCCTTAAAAAAAGGGGAAAAATTAATATATGTTATCTATCTATCTATCTATCTATCTATCTATCTATCTATCTATCTATCTATCTATCTATCTATCTATCTATCTATCTATCTAT